CTGGGACGACATTCGGAGAACATGTCCAAGCCACCGAAGTCGGTGTTTCAAGATGGTGACACCAATTGATAATCATCTCTGTGCCCGAACACACGATGCCGAACCTCTGCATTACTGACATGGTGTTGCCACTGAATGTCAGCAATCCTTCGGAGACAGCGATGATCGAACACAGAGAGTCGTCTAACGTCCTCAACTCGGAGAGGCCAGGTTTCACAAGCATAGAGCAAAACTGCTCTCACCGACGCGTTGTAGATCCGACCTTTTACAGCCAGACTAACATCACGAAGGCGCCAAAGGTGGCCCAGATTGGCATAAGCCGCTCTGGCTTTCACTATACGTGCATTGATCTCATCACTCACACCCCCACCAGCACTTATGCAGCTACCCAGATACACGAACTTCTCGACTACTTCTATCTGCTCACCATCCAGGGTGAGTACAGGATTAGAATCCTGCCAGTCTTGTAGAAGTACTTTGCACTTCGAAGGTGCAAAGCACATACCATACCTACGGACACTGATTGCCAACTGATTAAGTGCGGATTGCATGCCTTGGGCATTATCGCACAGTAAGACAATATCGTCCGCATACTCAAGGTCGAGAAGTCTTTCTCCAGGCAACAGATCCACACCACCATTACTTACATTCATCAGAGCTGTTTCCAGAATGTCATCGATGGCAAAGTTGAAGAGGAATGGTGAGATTGGGCAACCCTGCCTAACCCCACTGCTCGAATGGAACAATGGAGAGAGGTGGTTGTATGCCCTCACTCTGCCTGAGGTGTTTTTATATGGGCTTTTAGGATGTTAATAAACTTCTCAGGCACACCCTTCTTCAATAGACAATCCCAGAGAACAGTCCTGTCCAACGAATCGAAGGCAGCCCTGATGTCAAGAAACACTACGATTGTTGGCCTTTGAAAAGTATGGCGGTGTTCTAACATTTGGCGGAGGGTGAAGATATGATCAATACATCCTCGACCAGAACGAAACCCAGCCTGCTCCTCGCGAGTCAATCTTTCTCGGGTTTTGAACAACCTACGAAGTATGACGGAAGCCAATAGCTTGGACGCAATCGGAAGTAGACTTATCCCCCGATAGTTGTTACAGGAACGACGTGAACCCTTTTTAAAGATAGGGACAACTATCGACTCATTCCATGACGTTGGTACACTCTCTAGTTCCCAAACCTTTGTAAACAACGTCGTCAATTCCTTAGTCAAAAAGTCACCACCATCTTTAAAAAGAGCCGGAGGTAAGTCATCTGGGCCAGGTGATTTGTAACGCTTCAAGAGTTGGAGTTCCTTGCGGACTTCCTCCTCATTTGGTGGATCAGTCGTCACCGGCCATGGAGGGCAGGACAGTCTGACCGATGTTGCCGGAGCAGCAGGCCAGTTGAACTGCCCTTCGAAAAATTCTGCCCATCGTCCAAGACGTCGATGGATGTTAGTGATTGGCATCCCATCATCCTCGCAGATTGTTTCACTCACACCAGACTTCTTGCTGCCAGTGGCTCGGATGAGTGGAAGAGCTTCCGGTAGTTACCAGATGCAGCTGCTGCTTCCAGCTCATTAGCACGCATCGACCACCAGGCTTCTCGGTCCTTACGCAAGCTTTGCCCAATTTCCTTACGTAACATCCTTCGTTTATGGTCAAACTCACGGTCACCCGGAGTAGACCGACGGGCTTCAATGAGTTGTAAGGAACCAGAAGAAACCCAGTGCTTAAAGCGGGACGTTTCGCAAACCCACAACTGACTGTTCCCGCCATTTTCATGGCGTCATGCAATTGCAACCAATGCTCATCTATACTTTTCGGTGGAGTGGTAGCTAGCCTAGAGGCTAGCTCGGTTCGATACTTACTTGCAACAGAAGTTGCAACCAGCTTGCTAACATCAATCCGTTGGTGGGGTCACTTCGTTGTCCACTGAAAAGTAAGGCAAGATTGGCGCAGACCAAGGCATGGTCAGAGTCCAGATAGGTACTCCAAAAGGAGCGGCAGTCTTTTACACAACCACGCCAGCGGTAGCTGATCGCGATGTGATCAATCTGAGTCCAGGCTTGAGATGCAGAGGGAGGACGCCAGGTGGCACATCGGCGATGACTGTGCCGAAAGTTAGTGCTAGCCAGAAACAGGTTGTGGTCTGTGCAAAGTTGCAGTAGACGGTCCCCGTTATCTGACCTGCGACCAACGAGTCCCCATCGGCCACCTAAACGACTCTCTTCTGTGCCTAGACGCCCGACCTGAGCATTCAAGTCTCCGGCTAGTACTACAATATCTGTCGAACGCACTTTCTGGAGAAGAACAGTTAACTGGTGGTAAAACTCATCCTTGATTGCATCCGGGCTGCAATCTGTCGGGGCATAGGCACCCAAATGCCCTGGTACGGCCGAGAGTGAGGAGAGTCCGCTCTCCCTCTCAAAATACTCTCACACGGCCACGCGTATACAGCCTCTGCCAGGGAAGTCCTACTCACTGCCTTCTCGTGGCATTACTGTTGTTTACGAAAATGAGGACGAAAAGCGAACGTCCGGCGCTTTAACCGGATCCCAAACCAAATCAATGGTGCACATGGGATCCAGTATCCTGCGGGAACAAATGGCGTATGAACCAATTGTTGGTCACCGGCTTCCATGGGACTGCATCTTCCTACGATGCTCCACTGCCTTGTGGATCAGACCTTCAGGTCAAAGGCTCGGGGGGTGGCCCCCTAAGAAAACCACCTGCTTCGGTTTGGGCACCCGCGCAGTATCGCAGCCCACATGCAAATGATGAACTCTCAATACTTAAAGGACAGGATAGTTCATTTCGACATCAATAGTACATGATTTTATTTAAAATATCTGAGTATAAGTGTTGGATAGATGTATGGATTGTTATCACAGTTTAAATTTGCACGCAATGTAAGTCTTAGAGTTTTAAATAGCTGGTATGTTGAATGCGTTCACCATACACTTAAGTAAATCCACTCATATGTCAGATTCGCGAAAAATCGATGATTTACAAATGAGATATATCATGCGACGTTTCATCGCTCCCTAGAACTGTTATTTAACCCAGAACAATTACTGCGTGGCCTGATTTCTACACATTGAGAATTATAGACATAAAATATTGGTAAAACAACCAAGTAATAAATAAGGTCCTGTAGATCGTATGGACGCTTGTTAAGATTTGATTGTCAGTCCTCCAAGTGTGACACAACAAAAGATTCTAGCATATTCTGGGCTATATTAGGACCTACTTACTACCCCGTGATCTCGAAAACGACCAGTTGTATATCAGCTGCTGTATGTGGTCATTAATACTCAAGGCTTATTCGTACTACAACTATTTCACGAGTACGACAATGTGACATGCAGCAAGAGTATGAAAATGATGCTAAACTGTAAGAACTATAATCGTGTAAAAGTTGGTAAATTATGAGAAATGAAAATCACAACACAAACCATATCTAGCATAAAACACCTACTTAACTTGAGAAGTGGAAAAAACTAAGGGGACAAACTACTTCACTTGTAAAGTCATTTACCACAAGAACCTGTTTTAGTGTTCCAATGTATTCGTTTTTTTTTTTAGTTTGTGATGAGTAGACCATTATGACCTTAACAACACTTTAATTCACAACGTAGATGTTATTCTTGATTGATTTGTTTTCAAAATTATCTCTAATATCTCAAACTTAGATATATTATATATAGTTTTTAATGTGTATTGATTTCCTACTGAAAATGAGGTTGCTTAGGAATCTAAACTAACTTTGAGCACTTTAGACACCCTCTAAAACAAATTTTCGCTAAATCGATATTAAACATCAAACAAGAGCATTCGGTGTCATGTTTTGAGGAAATTGATGTACTTCGATCTATGTGTTTCTCAACTTGGAAATAAATACCAACCTTCAGGAACATGGAGGGACAATATATTTTCAAATCAATTATCTGCAATTCAGATCTGTGACATACAGGACTTATTCCTTTCATAAATATTACCCCACTAATTAGGCTCTTGACACGATTCTGGTATATATACATATAATCCCAGGTAGTGTGATGATGAATCCCTTTTATTTCAATATGACTAATCAAATGGCTACCACAAATGGTATTAAACTTACGTTTAATTTCAAAATACTATGAGCACACTCACCATGTTCACTTTGTACTTAATTATTATTATTTTCAATTTTCGTTACTTTATCACCTTAAGCTTTTAGTTATACTCATGTACATTAGATTAGTCAGTCACTTAGTTTTGATCAATGTTGTACTGTCTAGTTGATTATACTGACTCGATTTTACTAAACCAGTTTGAAATGTTGTCATCTATCCACATGAATCGACATTTTGATGTAGCGAATTCGACATTGGGTTATTGAAGGTAGTCAGTAGAAAAATTGTTACCGGATTCTATACGTTACATACTTATCAGCAAAAATACATATACTTGAAAAAGCTGACTTTAATAACGTGTGTTGCAAGAGCATTTCGCAAAACTATTACCTAATAAGATCTGATGAGATGAATTTTGGGTCGATATTATCCTTTAAAAACTCTAAATCAGTCAAATTTACAATCAATACGTATTAATCTACAAATCTTGTAACCATCGTTCTGTATATTGATGAAGTATACACAAGCATCAACCAGTATTTAAATGATAAAAGTTTTACATTCTAGTTATTGTTAAGTATACCCTATTAGTGACAATGGAGGTTAAAAAAATGGTTATACTGAATTTTATGTATCAAACCGACAATTTAACGATTAACATTCTGTTATTTTCTGATCTAATAGTAAGAAGAAATGAAATATTAGTGTATACGAAAATGGTAAGAACGATTAGTTTGAAGGAAAGGAAGCAGAGATAGACGCAAACAGCACTAAAACTGATTACTTCAGCCGAGCTTATCAACGTAACGTAAACCAATAAAGTAAATATAACGAGCAAAGTATTGGAGTGGTTAATAAATAATATTCACTAATAAGAAAGTCTTACCTTCACTAAAAAATGTTATTCGATCGACGCCACTATCTTCACATTTTATAAAGTTTGATAAATCCCCGACTGTGTGTTGTAATGGTTTGAGAATAAAAGAACATGCTTCTCGTCTAGAAGGCAATGGGATGATAATTTTAGGTAGACCATTTTCATTATATACAGAGACAGTATCCAACGAATTAGTAATGGACGTTGAATAAAACAGAAAAGACTGAATATGTACAAGATCCAATCTCTGAAATGAATAAATGTATGTGACGAAATAAAGGACTATAGGATAGTAGGATGAATAGTAATTTACAAGAATATCTTGAATGCCGTTAAAATATCACTAATCCTATTCAGGATACCGCCTACAAGCAACCCACAAATATTTCTGTTAAATTCTAAAATTATTGCGTAGTAGGCTGGAATTAATTATACTTAACTTTCCTTCAAATTACAATAATATGTTCTTTGACATCGATACCGTGAATATACTTAAATTACTTTACAGGATACTTCATTCCCGTTGAACTGTTTAAATGAATAAGGAAAACATTTCAAGCTCTTGGGTTTTGATTAAATTTATGGATTCACATAAGCATCTCGCTTATTTTTAACCTGTACTCTACTCAACAGTATCACTTAAAGTCAAGGTAGCTGTAATAACCTAGAATACAAACCTGATTACTAATGACTATCTACAATTTCCAAAAGATGATTAAATATTCAACAAATGTTTTATTTGCTTAGATATACTGGTCTTGTGAGGCTCGTTAGAGAACTATATCTAGTAGTTCACTAATGAAACTGCTATAGTATCTGTACACTTCGATACCACTAGAATGCAACCAGCTTTTATTTTTGTATAAATTATTCGCACAGACGAATCTTACGAAAAATATGACTCATTGAAATCATTAGTACTAAAAATGACAACGACGTAAATAACAAAAAATCCAGTTCAACTACGCTTTTGCAATCTGACTTTTATCGTGTTAAAGTAAAAGTCTGTAGATTTGAATGGCTAATTAATCTAAATATCGATATAGATAGATGGAATAAAGAATAAGACATTGACAATAAACAAACGTTTGGTGTATTTTGCATACTACTTTACGTGGTATTATGAAGTTCCAAGATAATCGGAAGGTTCCTCTTACTACAAACTGACATCAGTTAAGGAACTTACAGGAAACCAGCCTAGGAAAAAAAGATATTCAGAGCTTTTCGATTTTAATGGCTTTCCAGTTGATGATAGACCGTGACACAAAATCACTGAAACCGACCTCACCTATGATAGGATTAATGTTTTTTAGGAATACTAAATATACATATTAACTTTTTACAACAGAAATATGCAAAGATACAATATTTTGAAGAAAAAATTCAATATTATTATTAAGACTTTTGTTCCACGTGTAGCCTTGCATAAAAGTATGTGGCAGTCATTTAAGGACTGTATTCGCAAAGTTCATGGACATAAGTCGTCACTGTCTATTACATTCATTTGTGATCATCAGTAAAATGGTGCTTTCACTGAAACACGAACGAGAACTACCACTGGACTGTTTATTCATCTAATTATTAAAATTGGTCGCTTAGTAAGCAAAATGTGAAATCTTATGATTAGTATCTACCTTGTAAAGCCACCCTTGAAACGGCAACCTCTGAAAATACATACAGATAAAAATCGTAACTTTAGTAACCTTAGATTTTAGTCACATTATCGAGTGATTCAAACGAATATTTTCAATATTCATTGTACTAGCTATTAGTGTGAAAAATGAAACTCCCAGTGGTTCAAAAAGTTAATTTTTGTTTTATAGTGTAATTTTTATTTCTTTCCAAGCTTCCCTTTGTATCTTAAAATTCAAGGTTATTTGGTTGTTTAGACGTTTTATCATAGCATATATCAACTGGTGTACACACGTGTGTGGCGTATTCAAGCTGTGCACTTGCGTTTACGGTTGTTCGATATATGAGTTTGTGAAAAAAAGAAGGGAACAAAAATTTTAGGTAGTCCAAGGTTTAATTCACAGGAACTTAAAAGTTAGACTGTATCCTGATTAATAAACAAAAGTTCGGGGTAAAACTCTCTTTAATAATATCAAATTTAGAGGAATACGTCCACAGGCTTGTATGTGTTTTGACGCCATGAATGCTACGTAAGCACCATCGTACCCACTTCAGAAGGTCTGACGAACGTCAGTGAATTTTTAATATATGAATTCCCAAGTTTCACCATGCAGTTAATGCGTCACTAATTTACAAGCTACCACAAAATCGAAAAGAACCGTTTTCTTCTCTGAATTCCTGTGGGAAATTTCTTCCCGGTCGATGAAGAGCTTTTAAATGGAATACCTCAATTCATTGACGAAAAAAGTAATAGTTGAACGCTTCAGTATTCCCATATACGGTATTTTCGAAAAGGAAGCATATAAGCTATACTATTATATCGTTACTTCAGTGTGAAATTCACTTAACATCACTGATGTTTAATATACGAAGTAATCGAGCTCTTTCGTTGTCGAAATTGCTTAAAAGTGTCACTGGGTAGAAAAACAAGAAGACAATGAACGTAATTCTGATAGGGGCTTTTAACTTGTAGCGTGGTGTCGAGTCAAGACTAACTATGAACACCGCTACCAAAAAACACGTGCCAAGTAAATCAGAAGGCGAAGGTTGAACATAACCAAATAAATCCATAAAACCCCCGAGAAGCCAAATATCAAAAGGCAATTAATGGACCAAATCGAGATATATTCGCTGGCGATCTCGTAGCATCGAAAGGATACCGTGATCGTGCCAGGATAGAAGCTTGGTTACAGAACGTAACCGAATCCGCGCGAGGTTCCAATCAAAGTGTAAGTATATGAATGGAAGCACAAAATGGCTGTCATTAGCACAGTCAAACAAAAGCACATTAAAACAGTCAATGGTACAGTTGGTTATAATAATAATTGTTTTTATTAAACCAGTCATGTTCTCGCGATAAATGTGAGTCACTACAAACTAAAGGCGCTCGGCCAATCATCATCTTCAAAATACTGCGCGAAACAATGAAGAATTGCTTTCCTACTCTAAATTTCCTGTTCGGAAATTTCGTTTTTGTACACTTCTGCCTAGAAACAGATCGTCTGCAATCATGCCCAGGAAGCTAATCGTTGCTACTGTTTTCAGAGATCCTGAGAAACAATGTGACCTTAAACTATGTAGAAAAATAGTGATTCTTAATTTCGCCATGCGATTTGATTCATTTTTACCGTCTTTAACTTTTCAGGAGCCTTTCGGATTGCCTTCTACAGTATGGTTTTCTCTTTCTTTGGGATTTTATTTGTAAGATACCTGGTTACTTATTATGTTTTGACATTTGTTTCGCCGAATTCATATCGGTTGCTCAGTATTGGTTCAAAGTCAGAGTCTTTTACTCACGTAATTCTGTATATACGAAAACTTTGACTTTGAACTTTCGTGCTACAAACTGAAACATTTGTGTCCTTGTTAGCTATCCTGAGCCTCTTTGAGTTGACATGTACGTTGTGATGTTCATGTACGCCCTTATTACAGCATCTGAATTTCTACTACAAAAAAGATCTAGTGTGTGAGCATATGTAAGTCAATGTAAAAATGAAGCGTTTATGAATGATGATGTTGAAAAAGAAGTTTCAAATAACTTTTTGTAATTCTGAGCATAAGCTGTCAGAAAACAGCTGTTCTACATGTCGGATGGTATTACTGCCCAAAAGTTTATTTGCGTTTAATTACCAATAAATCCAAACTGTCTAGCATAATTTCCAAAACACCGGCACATGTTATATTATCTGACTACATTACAGACGATCACTTACAATGATATTGTAGTCATTAGCGCAGGATGATAATATCATAATATACTGACATTTTTATTACCTGTGGTCTCAAACACATTGATGGTCGAGTTCATAAAAAACACATATTATGGTAAAGATCATGATGAGTTTAGTAAGAGAGGCTGCGAGCAATTTAGTTAACGGTAACTGTCAGGTGTTACCGAGTTTCACAAATGTAGCACAAGGTCATTAAATCACTGAATCCATTAGTGGTTCCACGGCTAACTTAGTTTTAGGTTACGATGCTTCCAGTTGTATTCACTGTGTTCTCTTTGACTTCTAAATTGGTATATAGAGAACACATAACCATACCGAATTTCTGTATTTTCTATTAACATAGTCAGAGAAATTTTGAGGCTTTTCTGAATTCTTTGCTGGGCAGAAACAGCCTACTATGCAAAATAGTATAAGTCTAAGAACAAACGTTCGAAAGTACATTTAATATTGTAAAAATTGCATGGTTCAAATTCACCGAAAGTTTCTGATACATCGTACCTTCATTTAACGATAGAATTCGACAACCGAAAATTAGGCAGATATAGTTGTAGAACTATGGTCTACTATGATATTAGTGCTGCTCTAATAATAGACCTAATCCTAAATTTGTAGATTTGTCATGATATAACTGCCTAATCTATAAGATCTTACGTGGAAGTCACACCATCGACTACACCAACTCACTGTATCGTATCAATTACCAATACATGATGTAGAACAAGGTTAGGCTAGAGAAAGAACAATATATTTAATATGAATAGAAGATATAAGGTAACATTCAGAGGGACCACGCCTGCATGGCCGAGCCATGCCACTCGATCAACTCCAGTCCATTCAATTCATTGTTCGCGCCTTCTCCATTGTTAGGTATTTCTCCGCGTTAAATATTGAATATCTATTTTCTGAGTAGTCTCGTGTTCACAGCTTTGTGGATTGTGTGGCTATTGTCCAATGCCACTACACTACTCTCCCACCAGAATCAACGTGATGTTGGTTCGATACCAAATTGGATGGGATCGTCGCGCGCCGGAGGTTACCAAGGATAATAAGAATCCTCCGGGTATTGGTAAGCTGAAAGATAAATCAAAAAGAAAGCGGCAGCATCTGGTCGGGAAATACATGTAATAATTTTAAAATATCTGCCTTCATGCTTAAAACGCTTGAAATGAAAATTTGGGTGAAGATTATTTGAGCTATAAAAAATGGTACAATAATAATAATAATAATAAAACGATGCGTGTTAATAGCCGTTGGTTAATAACTTAACGTATAGGTAGTAAGTATTTTGTGTTTAGAAATATTAAAGTGATGAATATTGTAGAAATGTTAATATTGGTATTAGTTTTGGTTTAAATTATGAAATCAAATAACGATTATGCCGGTAAGTTGTCCATATGAGTTGAATTCCAATTGCATCTGTATTAGTAGGCTAACTGAAGGAACAAAAGTATACCGTGGAGAAGAATTCCAACTAGTGTTCCAGTTAGTTTGATACGGTTTATTTAGTTACGGGGAGATTTTCTCAACCTCATTTTTACTTGACCGTGATAGAATTTAGTAATACTACTAATACACATGAATGGTTATCAAAATAAAATTTAAATACATGAGTGATAATTATATGAATTTTGGACAGATAGCTAGGAACAAATCGTTAAACATGAGTGTATTCGTAAGAGACATGCTCTAGACTCAATGTTCTGATCTGCGGCAGACTATTTATTTATATTTATACTTGCTGGCTGATTGGGCATACAAGTTAGTTGCAAGTATGCAGTTTATCATAAGGCGGAATACGATTTAATTGAGATATAGTGGTTATAAGTTATTAAAATCAGTTAGGCCTGTGTCATATTACGAAGTGATGTGGTGCTGCAAGATGTATTTAGCTAAATAAGTTTTTACAAGATGATTAATAGTGAGTGATGCTCATGTGATTATCAGGGAGAACATAAGTTGTAACCAGGGGAGTACACTCCCAACTCATGTCTATGATAATGGCTTGAACCTTAGTCAGTGTTGGGGTAAATTCGACATTGATGTTTTCAGTTTGCAGGAGATTTGCTCGACTGCTTATACTGATTATTTGCATGCATGATTGTGTCGCTAAACCATCAATTAGACTGACAAGGTTTTGAGATATTTACTGAATGAGCAACTGATAGAGAAACATACTGTAATCATCTGTGATGGATGAAGATACAAGAAAACAACACCATTTAATGGTAATTATAAGTCAATTTGCTGACCGATTTTGTTAATAGTTTCATTAATTTTATCAATCATATTACGTGATTGTCAAGTTATGACAATGCTTTATGACGATATCCTGAAACTATTACATTTAACTAGTTATAGTGTTGATTGAGGATTAGTCAGTGGAAAAATAGGTATTGTTGCTTTAGGTGATTCGAAATCATCAGAAATTTATAACGTTAAAGAATCCGAGACGCCTAATTTAATTATAAATTTCAATTCAGAAATATTCGTTTAGTGTTAATTCTAGTAGGCTACGGAGTTTTGATTTTAAACGTTTGTTTAGCCAACAGCTACCTGGGATTTAGTTATTTTACTAGTGCAGTTGATAGTACCTAAATTTTTAATCTTATTATCTAAACTATGTTCGCATTTTAGGCTGCTAATATGATAAACCAATCCATAAACCCAAATACGATTAGCAACAACGACTATGATGGGTTTATTGATAAATGTTAAAGGCGATCCAGATGATTTCTAAATTTAGAAGACATGGAGATATAGTGTAACGTATGTATGGGCCAGGTTAACATGCAGGTTGTTGACGTATATGACGATTTAAAAATAATGAACATGACCAGAAAATAATTTTAAAGTTTAGACTGCT